TGCGGGGAGACAGCGGGTCACGCTCTTTAGACGCCAGGCCCTGCGCGAGCCCCCAGCTGCCCAGCCAAGCCGCCACCAGACCCCAAACCATGGCACCTTGCCCTGCCTGAGCGGGGCTTCTGCACGGGACCCCCGGAGAGCCCTCGGGAGGCTTCGGAGCTGGAGCCCCCCCCCCCCCATCTACGAGTACTCAGAGCAGACGCTGTCGCAGTGGCTTCTGCCCGGGCCAGCAGGAAAAGGGACAGCGGTGAGGCTCCCCGGGACCCCAGAGCACAGCGGGGCGGGGGCAAGGAGGCACTCACCCTGCGGCGAGGGTGACGCCGCCCGCGACACGGTCTGGGCGTGCAGCAGGTCCAGCGCGCTCTGGGTCTTCTTGGGCTTGCGCTCAGGGTTGGCGGTGCTCATCTTCTTGGGGCGTCCGCGCTTCCGGCCGGCCATCTTCCGGCCCTTCTTGTTCAGCTTCTTCTTCCGGGCCTTGGAGGGAGATGGCTTCTTGACAGTGGTCGCCCCGGCTTTCTCTTCCTCAGCACCAGAGTCCTAGCGGAAGACCACGTGAGGGACCAGCCGGTGATGTGGGCCCCTGGGGGCAGCCTGGCTCCCTCCCCCGAGACCGGGGCCGCCCCATCTGGCCGGGGGCGGGGCGCTCACCATGGGGGTGTCGGCGGGCATGGCCGCCTTGCTCTCGGGCAGCTTGGTGGGGGTGGTCGTATTGCTCTTGTTCTCCCGCTGCTGCCGGCGCCGAGCTGCCTCTTGTTCCTCCTGGGGAGCAAGCGGGGGGCTCGTCCTCTGAACCGCGGGCACCACGGAGACCCTCCTGCCTGCAGAGGCCCTGCAGCCCTGGCCCCGGGGGAAGCGAGGTACACACACCCCACACCCAGTCTCTGCTGGGAACCCAGTGGGCCCCCGGACGGCCTGGCCTGGCCACCCCCGCGGCGGGTGGTCCCAAGGTCCCCACAACCACTTCCCCACCGAGGGGCACACTGTCCACAGGCGAGGGCTGCGGGACCCCACGGCAACAGGAGGGAGGACAGGGCCACCCGCAAGGCCGTCCTCTGTCTCCAGGTGGGGGTGGCCATCACCATGCCCTGACCCAGAGGCCCTAGTACAGCAGGAAGGGCCCGGGCGGGGGGCTCCTTCAAGGCTCACGTGCTTGTCTGAGCCTCCAAAGAGAAAGTCACTGGGACAGACGTCCCACGAGGTTCAGAGACAAAGTGATGAGCACGAGGCCGCGGGACATTTTGAAAGGCTGTAACTCCAACCTATCTGCCCCCAAATCTCTCAAGAAACGTGGCCACGGTGCAGCTGCTCAAGACATGGCCGCCGCAGCCAGGGGGCCGGCCCCAGCGCCCAGGCCCATGCCTGGCCACTCAGAATGCCTAGGGCCCTGGTCAGCTTAGAGATCAAGGACAAATACACAAACTTACCCTGAGTTTTGGATTTTTCAGACTAGAAAAATAGTTTTCAAGCTAAAAATGGAAAAGGAAAAGAAAACCTCTCATTAGCGATGGAAAACCCTGTCAGGACAAGAGCCACACCCCAGACCCACCGATGTCAGGCAGTGACGGGCGCGGTGAGTGCTCGGGACCCCGGGTTGGGAGCAGGACCTCTGCCCACCCACGTCAGCTGAGAGGCGGGTCGGGGAGGAAGGGGTGCCACTCACTATGGTGCGGTCGATGGTGTGCAGGTAGTAAGACACCGGCTTCCCCGTCCACGACACCGAGCCTTTTAGCGGCGACAGCTCCACGACGCGCATGATGGTGCCGATGTCTGTGCACAACGGGGCGCAGGGGTCAGGGGTCGCCAGGACACCAGGGGGAGGGGTATGGCAGGGCTCAGGTCCCAGGCGCGTCCCAACTGCCAGCTGGGGAGGTGCCCATGGCCCTCCCCGCACCCAGGCGCCTGGCCAAGGACAAGGGCGATAAGCCCACAGGGCGGGCTCCAAAGGCTCGTGGGGGCCGATGTGGCCACCAAGCAGCCGCGAGGATGCCCAGCGCCTGAAGGTCCTGCCACCCCGCGGGCCCACACACACTGCTGCTTGTCCTTGCCACTGCTCCCTTGGGTCCCAGCACCACAGTCCTGCCCAGGGCCACGTCTGGGGATGTCTGGGGTTGTCACAACTGGGGGCCTCCCGCATGGAGTGAGTGCGGCCACTGCTCCACATCCCACAGCGCCCAGGACGCCCCCCGCCGTCACCACTGCTGGCAGGTGACCCCGCTTTAACCCACGGCAGGTGCTCATAATTGCACGTGTTAAGAACTCGGCAACACGAGAGCTCTTACCACTCAAGTTTCTACTGTTTATTCTGAAGTTCAGAGGTGCAAAGGGCTTCGAGGACACAATTCTGCCACCTAAAACACAGAGAGGGTTCAGTGCCAGCCGTGGGGACACCAGCGCGCGATACGAGCAAGAGCCTGGTGAAGCTTAGAGCAACAGGACACACAAGCATCCAGAGAAACCAGCCCTCTGAACACAGAAAAGCCGAGGGACTGGGAATCCTGAGCTAATCTCACAGCTAAAAGCAAACAAAGTGGCGCCTGAGAGCTCCGACCCGTCTCACGATTTGCTTTCCTGCAAAACGCACTCAGGGCCTCACAGTCCCCTGGGTCTCGTTGTGGGGCCCGCTGGGTACCCCCTCTACAGCTTCGGCGCTGTCTAGGTGCGCCACACCCACACCAGATCCGGACCAGAACCAGCCCTGACCCCAGAGACAGACATAACCTGAGGGAGAACCGGGTCCAGACACACAGACAGAACCTAAGGCTGGACCAGGCCCTAACACAGAACCAACAGAACCTGAGGGAGAACCAGGTCTTGATCCACCCACACAGAACCTGAGGCAGGACGAGGCCCGACTCCAGGGCAAAAGGACCTCAGAGAGAACGGGGCCCAGATTCCACACAAACAGAACCTGAGGGAGAACTGGGTCCTGATCCACAGGAACAGACAGAACCTAAGGCAGAACCGGGCCCTGACCCCACACAGACAGAATGCGAAAGGCTCAGGTCGGGAACAGCTGCACAGGAAACAGTTTTTCCAATTAACTCCCGGCACGTGTGCAGTCATTGTAGGGAA